AATTGAATCTAAAAAACTAAGCAAACAAGAACAGAGACAGAATCACCTGGAGAGCATTTTGTTGGTTGCCAGATAGGAAGGGGGTACGGGAGAATGTGTGAAGAGGTGAGGGGATTAAGAAGCACAAATAGGTAGTTACAGAATAGCCATGGGAGTATAAAGTACAATATAGGAAGTGGAGTAGCCAAAGAACCTACATATGACCCAAGGACATGAACAAAAGTGTGGGGATTGCCTGAAAGACTGAAAGGTGCAGGGTAGAGGGTGGCAAAGAGGGAAAATTGAGACAACTGTAATAGTATAATCAATAAAATATAATTAAAATTTTATAAAAAACAAATAAGCATAGCTTTGTTCCAATGAAACATTATTTACAAAAGCAGGTGAGAGGCACTGTTTGCTGACTTCTGCTCTACATCAATAGACTGTCTTGAATGTTACCTGAAATTGGTCATCTAGAATAAAGAGTACACTACTCAGCCACATTTGCAGCCAACTGTGGCCCTGGGACTAGTTCTGGTCAAACAGATGAAAGATTATACAACAACCAGAAGTGTCCTGGACAAAGCGAGGAAAAACATGCCATTCTCCCCTCCTCTCTCCTTTGTCTTGCCTGGAGTATGCCATGGCTGGAGTGGGGCAGGGAGTGGGGCAGACATCCTGAAATGTGATAGAATCCACAAGTTGAGAAAAATAGAGCAGGACTTCCGGCCAAGATGGAGGCGTAGGTAGATACACTTTGCCTCCTCGCACAACCAAAAGAAGGACAACAAATTTTAAAACAAAAAAACAACCAGTACTGCCAGAAAATCAAACTGTATGGATGTCCAACAACCAAGGATTTAAAGAAGAAACATTCATCCAGACAAGTAGGAGGGGCTGAGATAGGCAGCTGGGGCAGAGAGGATGCGCAGCAGGGCAGCAGCTGGAGGACCGGGTGGGTGAGGCAACAGCTGACGAACCAGGTGGCCCCACATTTGTGTGCGGATAAACCTGAAGGAACAGCTGGGGAGCAAGAGAGATCGCGCAACCCAGGGTTCCAGCTCAAGAAAAGAAAGCCTCAAAACCTCTGGCTGTAAAAACCTGTGCAGGTTGCAGTGGCAGGAGAAACTCCCAGCCGCACAGGAGCGTTCGTTAGAGAGACCCACAGGGTCTTAGAATGTACCCACCCACCCACTCGGGAATCTGCACCAGAAGGGCCCAATTTGCTTGTGGGTAGCAGGGGAAGTGACTGAAAGCCAGCTGGGAGCCAAGCAAGCAGCATGTTCCCTCTCGGACCCCTCCCCCACAGACAGAACCAGTACCTGGGATGTGAGTCACTCCGCCCTGCTGATTACCTAAGGCTCCACCACTTACAATGTAACAGGTGTGCTGGGACAAAGAAAGACAGCCCAAATGAAAGAACAGATCAAAACTCTATGAAAACAACCTAAGCAATGAACAGATAGGTCTACAACCTATCAGATGCAGAGTTCAAACCACTAGTATCAGGATGCTCACAGAAATAGTTGAGTATGGTCAAAAAATAGAGGAAAAAGTGAAGGCTATGCAAAATGAAATAAAGAAAAATATACAGAGAACCAACAGCAAAGGGAAAGAAACCAGGACTCAAATCAATGATTTGGACCAGAAGGAAGAAATAAACATTCAGCTGGAACAGAATGAAGAAACAAGAATTCAAAAACATGAGGAGAGGCTTAGGAAACTCTGGGACAACTTTAAATGATCTAACATCTGAATCATAGGGGTGCCAGAAGGAGAAGAAGAGCAAGAAATTGAAAACTTATTTGAAAAAATAATGAAGGAGAACTTCCCCAATCTGGCAAAGGAAATAGTCTTCCAGGAAGTCCAGGAAACTCAGAGAGTCCCAAAGAAGTTGGACCCAAGGAAGCACACACCGAGGTACATCATAATTACCCAAGATTAAAGACAAGGAGAGAATCTTAAAAGCAGCAAGTGAGAAGGAGACAGTTACCGACAGAGGAGTTTCCATAAGACTATCAACTGATTTCTCAAAAGAAACCTTGCAGGCAACAAGGGGTTGGAAAGAAATATTCACAGTGACGAATGGCAAAGACCTACATCCGAGATTACTCTACCCAGCAAAGCTATTGTTTAGAATGGAAGGGCGGATAAAGTGCTTCCCAGATAAGGTCAAGTTAAAGGAGTCTGTCATCACCAAGAACTTATTATATGAAATGTTAAAGGGGCTTATGTAAGAAAAAGAAGATCAAAACTATGAACAGTAAAATGACAACAAACTCACAACTGTCAACAACTGAACCTTAAAACAAAAACAAACTAAGCAAACAACTAAAATAGGAACTGAATCACAGAAATGGAGATCATGTGGAGGGTTATCAACAGGGAGGGGGAGTGGGAGGGGGAGAATTGGGGGAAAGGTACAGGGGATAAAAAGCATAAATAGTAGATACAAAATAGGCAGGGAGAGGTTAAGAATAGTATAGGAAATGGAGAAGCCAAAGAGCTTATATATACAACCCATGGACATGAACTCAGGGGTGGGGAATGCTGGTGGGAGGGGGGATGCAGGGTGGAGGGGAATAAAGGGGAGAAAAATGGGACAACTATAATAGCATGATCAATAAAATATACTTTAAAAAAATTTTTTAAAGAATAACAGAGCAGCAAAATAGCAGCGGCAGAGATCCTAAAAGATTCTATCATAGGTATTGAACTTTTGCCAAGTGCTTTTCCTGAATTGTTATTTTTTTTCTTCTTACTCCATTAATCTAGTCTTCTACACTCCCTAAATCTATTTTATTAATAAATGTTTTCTTATATTTTTTGAATTCTTGACATATATGCTACCTGAACATATCCTTTTTAATACACCATTGATTGGCTTAGCTAATGTTTTATATAGGAATTTTTACACTTCTAGTCCTTGTGGTAAAAATTTTTTATTTGCTCAAATTTTTTAAAATGCCCCAGGGTACTTGAAAAGAATGAGTATTCCGTAAGTAATGAGTGCAGGTGCTAAATAGGTCTATTGGATCATAACAGTGCACCCTGGGGTTCAAGACATGTTTCCTTGGTGACTGTTTTGTCTGTTTGATCTATCAATTTTTAGAGAGATGCATGACAATCTCCTACTATGAATATAGATTTGTTCATTTGTTCTTGTACTTCCAAAATTTTTGTTTTCTATATTTTGGGGCCAGGCACATATGTTTAATACCAGTGTACTTTCCTGTTGCATTAAACCCTTTATCATTCAGAGGAGATCCTCTTTATTTCTAATAACACTTTTTGTTATAAACTGCACTTTATATGGTAATTGTTTTGGTTCACTTAATTCACTTAATAATCGCTTCTCAGCCTTTTGACTAAGATCAAGAGTAGAATTCGCTTCATATATCTTTTCCGTGCTTTTGCTTTCCACCTCTCTATTTGAGATGTGCCTCTTGGCATATGGTTGGACTTTATTTTTTAACCTGTCTGGAAGTTCTTTTCCTTTAACAAGGGCATTTAGTCTTTTGCATTTAATATAATCAGCAACAAATTTGGATTCAGTGCTAACCTCTTTGCCTTTTTTTATCTACCAATTTTCTTTCTTTTTCCCTTTCTTCCTGCCTTCTTTTAGATTAACATTTTTTCCTTCATCTTCCTCTTAATAAGTTATACACTCTGTTTCTAAGGGATTAGACTAAAAATTACAACAATGGTGAGGAAACGCTGTCTTTACTTTGCTGTTTCAGGGCCATATGGTTATATCCTCTGTATCTGTACTACTCTAACCTTTCTCCTTTCTGATGTTATGTGTCTATGTTTCCTTTTCTCTCCTTCATATTTATTTTATTCACCTTTTCCAAAAAGAGAATTTTTATTTTGTGGGTCATATCTACATTTTTATATTCTAGTTCATTATTTTTTTCTTTTAAATAAATAAATCCCTTCTTCTATTTTGGGGGTTGATTTTGTTATTCTTTGTGAAGTTTCTTGAGTTAAAACTTAGCTTATTTCAATTCTACCATTCCTGTTGTTTTGGGGTTTTTTTAAAGATTTTATTCATTTATTTTTTAGAGAGAGGGGAAGGGAGGGAGAAAGAGAGGGAGAGAAACATCAATGTGTGGTTGCCTCTCACACTCCCCCTACTGGGGACCTGGCCTGCAACACAGGCATGTGTCCTGACTGGGAATAGAACCAGCGACCATTTGGTTCACAGGCCGCTGCTCAATCCACTGAGCCACATCAGCCAGGGTGACCGTTCCTATTTTTAATAAATGTGCTAACAGCTTCTACAGTTCCTTCTGGGAGCTACTTTAGACAGTCCCACAACCTTGGTATATGGTGCTCTCCTTGTTCACTTCTAACTCACTTGAGTTTAGTTTCATTTCTCCTTTAAAATTACCTACAAAGATGGTGAGAAAAGTAGATCCTTTAGACCCTTTTTGTCTCTACTTCTGTGTTCATGTCTAACTGTGTTTTATTGTGGTCTGAGCATTCCTCCTTTTTAGAACCAGTTGGGGACTTATTTGTGGCTAACATTTTGTCAATTTTGTTGATGAACCCGAGTCTGTAAAGTCTTGATCTGTTTGTGCTGTTAACTCCTACCCTGGGTTGTGGATTTTATTTACCTGGGGTTTTCCCTTCCATGAACTGGTTTTCTCATGTCTTTGGTGACTCCTGCTTGGGGCTCAGCTTTGATTCATTTTGTTTGTTGCCTGTGGAGGCTGCTTCTCTTCACTGTAACGCATGCACAGACACCAAGGAGTTTCATCTGAAGCTTTGGAAGCACTCAACACATGGGGGTGTTCTCTTCCTGGGGGGTTGCTGGAAGGGGGATGGTCCCCGTAACAACGCTGTTTTCCAGCTGAGACTCAGAGAGGAGAGTAACTTGGCCTAAATCCTGTAAATAACGAATCTGCCATCGGGCCCAAAGCCCATACAATTCTCACAATAACCCTGCCCACGGCGTCCTAGTGCAGACACGCCCACTCCCCTTCCTAATCCCCATAACCAGTCAATTCAGAATGTTTCATATATTTCTCTTCTTTTTACTCTAAAAAAAGTTGACAATAAGAACCTACAAACTGCAGGAAGTGGCATGGTTTCAATCTCCCCACCTCTCCAAACATCATTTTCATTCCTCAGATACCTCCTCTCCTCTTCCCTTAAAACCCTATATGAAAACCCCTGAGAATATGCAGAGACCCCCCAGAAAGGAGGCCCCCCTTCAACAGGTGGAGGCCTTGAATAAATTAGGGGAGAGGAGGCTCCTTGCCGGCCCTGTCCAGCCTTGTCTCGCAGACCCAGCGGTAGGGCCTCCTGCAGACGTCGTCATTCCAGCGGCCATCATCAGACAAGTGGGCACAGTCCTCGCCTCCCCCAAGCCCGTGCCCGTACCAGTTGTCCGGCTGCTCTGGTCTCCAGTTCCTAAGAAGAATAGACAGGTTGGACCCCAGGAGGCCAACGCTCAGCCAAGTTGAGGAGCCCCTCTTGCCCTTGGACCCACCCAGCTGGGATAGCAGAGCCCAGGTCAAAGGGACAGAGTGCAGAGCACACACTCACCGGAAGCCGGTCTCGTAGTCTGTCCCATCCACCCATCTCCAGGGCCCATTTTCGTCAGTGAGGCCAATCCAGGTGTTCCCGGGGCCCACATGGTGCTGGACAAATTTCTGGGGAGAGAAGAAGGTGGTGACCTCTCCATAGAACAGCCAGATTCCCAGGTGGGCCCTCCAAAGCCCTCACCTGCTCCTCCAAGGAGCCGACCACCAGTAGGTGCGCGTTCTCCAGCTCGCAGTACTTCTCAGCCTCGGGCCAGGGCTTCCCAGTACGAGAGAACCAGTAGCAGCTGCCGCCATACTCCACCCAGTTAACAGGGCAGCAGGCATTTTCAGAGCCTGGGAGGGGGAGGGGTATATAGGGAAGGTCCAAGGGCTGAGGCTCTGCCAGGAAGGGAAATAGGCAGAAAAGTGGGGCTGGGCATCCCTGCCTCCTCACCATTGCCCTGGAGCATGACCAGATGACAGTTCAGGCTTCGTAAGTCAGACACAAAGGTCTTCACATGGAGCAGCAAGCTGGATTGATCTGGGGAGACGGAGGCGGGGGAGGGGGTAGGATAAGAATGAGGAGGGAAAGGAGGGCAATATGAACACTGGAGGTCACGAAGGGTCTGCATCTGTATGCAGGACTGAAGATCAATTAGAGATGCCCCTGCCACAAGACCCCTTGGTTTGGCGGAGAGATAAGAATTGCTGTCAATAAAACATTTGAGAATTGCAGGGGGAAAACTGCTGTCCAGACCCCTTGGTTCGGCGCGGGAGCCCCCTGCATTCCACACATAGGCACTGGCAAACATGCCCCCTCTCCAACCTTGACTCAGGTCCTGCTGCTGTTTCTCCAGCTGCGACTCCAGGGACTTCATCTTTCTGCCCACGGCTCCTCCTGCGGGGGAAACTGCTCGGTGTCCCAGCATCCCCGGCGCCCCCAGCATCCCACGACTGCCCGCAGCCGCAGCCCCGGCCCCTCACCATGGATGCGCAGGTCCTTGACCTCGGCCTCTGTGCTCACTGTGAGGTTGCTGACCGTCTCTCTCAGGGCCCGCAGCTCTTCCTGCAGCTTGGAGTCTGGGCAGGAGAGGGCGAGGATTAAAGAAAATGAGAGGGCTGTGTCCACTAACACAGCTACCCCCACTCCCCCCGACCCCTGCTCCCACCAACCCCCCAACATTTCTCCCTTCCCTGCCCACCCTGGGGCACCCACTCTGGGATCCGATCACACAGACAACCACCAGCAGCAGGAGACTGAGGCCCAGGGAGAGCAGGAGGAGGCAGGGTCCGGAGCAGAGCCGCTGAAATAGAGGCTGGGGAGGAGGCGGCACTGCAAAAGGAGAGGGCAACAGAGTCTCAAGGACACCGCAGAGTCTGGGCAGCTCTGAGGTCCTAGGAGGACGGGCTAAAGCTTCCCCAGTAGACTAGATGGAATCACGTAGACTAAGGGATGTGAGCAGTAGGTGACTCTGAGGGGCCAGAAGCAACTAGAGGTGGGGAAGGAAAGGGGGTTACAGAGTGAAGCAAAGCTTTGTCCTGCTTTAGCCCTACCCAGGCTCTGGGCCTTTGCTGACACCTAGTGGCCTGACTTTGTCAGTGCAGCCGATGAATCTCAGCCTTGATGGCGTTTGTGAGCTGGGGGGAGACTGGTGGAGTGGGACACCAGCTGGGGAATCACTGCTCCTCCCTCACGGTGGGGCAGGAGAAGGCGGTCTCTTCCTCCATGAATTTAACTGCTCTTTGGCTGGGTGCAGGAAGAGAAGGTGGAGTAGCCAGACTTCAGGTCCGTCAAGTTGATTGCACCCAGGGAGTCTATCCCAGTGAGCCAGAACGTGGGGAACCTCCTTTCCATTCTCTCCTCCCCTGCATCCCTCTTCCCCATCCAAGGGCACTGCCCACTCCCATCCCCAAGAACTGGATCTTCACTCGATCCCTGCTTACATGAGAAAAAATAGGGGTTAATTTTTCATGTAGGGGGGGCCTCATCCTCCCTCTGGTCAGAAATCCCTCAGCCTCTTCACAGAAACCATACTCAATCGTACTCACCCCTTGACCAAAATGATCCCAGAGACCCCAGACACACGTGTGCGTGTGCGCGTGCACACACATGCCAACGGCTCACCGGTATAGGAAAGGAAAGGGGGACGGTCCCACGTCCATGGACCTACCCCCGCAAAGACCCTGAGGAGAGGGTGGCATGACGAGGGCTGGGAGGCGTGCCGAGGCCCCGTCACCACGAAAGGGGCTCCAGCCCCCCACCCTCCACCTCCCCCATGAGGGGCAACTCAGACACTTAGTTCTTGTAACAGGGGCAGACCCAGCGACAGAGTCAAGGGTCACAGAAAGAAACAGGAGCTGAGGCAAGAGAGCCAGAGCCGACTAAGGCTCGCCTTTCAGAAACAGGAGGAGCCATCCCTTCACCTTGTCTGAGCTGATGGTCATTCTCCTCGTTGTCCAGGTGCTGAAGATCTTGGTACTCCTTTGTCATGTTAGGGCTGGTGCGACCTGGGACTAGGTCAAGGCTTGCATTAGGGTTGAGGTTGGGTCTGCAGAGAGTTGGTGTGGGGGGCCCTGTCCCTTTCTAAGCGATCTGTGGCTCCATGAAGACCTCTCTTCTTTCCCCCTTTCCCTCCCAGACCTGTCACCCAAATCCATCCTCTGAGGCTTTTCCACCCAGCCCCTTCCCTCCTGACAGCGATCCCCTGCGTCCCTCCCCCAACCTACCCCCAGTCAGCCCCCCTGCTTTTCCTCCCCGTTTACTTGCTGGTGTCTCGAGGGTGACTGCTGGAACCCTCAATGCTGCGTAGATCCCAGGCTAAGAAGGAAGCTGAAGCCTGAAGAATTGGGGTGTGCAGACAGCCCTGGACAATCGGGGAGGAAGGGGCAGGGTCCATACAAGGGCCCCGAGCACCGTGTTTATGCGCCTGCTTGTCTGTGTGTTTCTACTGCGCCAAGCGTGGCATCTCCGGTGACAGAGACTTTGGACTTAAACAGAGGTGGGAATGCATTTGGAACTCAGATGAGTGGGGGTGGAAGCAGGGGGATGGGTTGCCTCTGCATTCCTCTCTGGGGACGGGGAGTCTCCTGGCGTGTCCCCCTCACCTTCACACACGGTCACCTCACTCCTCATTGTATGGTTTGGGAGGGGAGCCTAGAGGGCCGGGGGTGCAGTTCCATGTTTTCCCTCTGCCCCTCCCTCAGTCACTTACTGACACTAAATTCCCAGAATTGTTGGTGTCTCCAAATATCCCTGACCAAGATCAGAGGGATCTGTTGTTCTCTGCTCTTGCCCAACCTGGGCCTGTGACGCTGGCACCTCAGCCTAGGCCCCAGCTTCCCTGGGGGCTCAGCCAGCAGACTCCCCAGCTCAGGCTGACTGGTTCAGTCTCCTGGGGAGTCGAGCCCCCCAGCAGCATGGGCGACAAGATGTGGGGAGAGGCAGCAGCGCAGGCTTTCCCCACCTCACCGGAGGCCGGTGCCGACAAAGCTCCTTTGACTACCACTGCCAGTGGGCTTTTTCGTCTTTCACTCCTCTCGTTATCCCCAGAGCACGTCTGCAGACGAGGAGACTCAGACCCAGAGAAGTAAGAGCTGGCCCAGGTTCACACTGCAAGGAAGCAGCAGAGGGGCAGCTGGAACTGGGGCAGCCTGATCGCAGGACCTTGTGCAGTCTCCACAGTCACCATGGCTGAGCCCTGAGGTCCCAGAGATGCTAAAATGCGGTTGCTCACAGCTCCATGGGGGTGGGAGGTGGCTTCAGATAGGGTTGTGTTCAAAGAGGAGTGTATGAATTTATTTTTTTAAAGATTTTTTTTTATTTATTTATCTTTTAGAGAAAGGAGGAGAGAGAGAAAGCCAGGGAGAGAAACATCAATGTGTGTGAGAGATACATCAATCTGTTGCCTCTCGCACGCCCCCTACTGGGGGCCTGGCCTGCAACCCAGGCATGTGCCCTGACTGGGAATTGAACCGGTGACCTTCCAGTTCTCAGGCTGGCACTCAATCCAGTGAGCCACATCAGCCAGGGCAGAGGAGTGTGTGAATTTAAAGTGTGCAAAATTAGAAATTGGACAATATTATAGACGTTCATCAGTCTTACTTTGGGCCCCAAATGCGAAGTCTTGCAAATCCTGTTACAATTATTTCATGAAAATAGTAGACTTCCGTTATGAAGGTTTTACATTAGGAGACATTCCCTTGCATCAAGTGTGAAAGCCTTGGCTACACCCTTGTATGCCCCTGCCTTGAAAAAGCCAGTAATGTTGGTGACTATTAGGCTGCTACTTTAGCATTCTCTGATAGTATCACTTACAATCTGGTTTGTAATTCAGGCAAATAAACCTACTTTTTATAGTATTGCTTGGGGCAGCACCGTGGTTGCCCTGCAGGAGTAGTGACTGGAAAGGAGCACAGGGAGGTTCTGGGATTACGGAAATGTTCGGCTTCTTGATCCGGGCTCTCGTTGCACAGGTGTGTCCAGTTTGTGAACGTGTGGAGAGCTGCACACCAACGCAGAGAGCAGCGCCCAGGGCCGCGTTCCCCAAACCCATTCCTTAGAGAGCAGTTCCTGGACCAGTGCTGAAAACACCCCCCAAAGCCAATAACTTTAGAATGGGAGTCAAAGGTTATAAAACACTGAAGAAAGCCAGACAAACAACACAGAACATCCAGTTGCTAATTTGCAAGGAGTCCTCTTTAAAATACTAGAGATAGGCCGTTCAGAGGTTCCCCTGAACACCCCGGTCAGGGCAGCCCTCGAAGCCGAGATGCTCGCAGTTCTGTTAGCCAGGCCGACACCCCTGGAACCAGTTTCCTGTGGGGCCATCAGCAGGATTGGATGGCTGAGAATGAGATGGAGAAGATCCAAAGATAAAATTTTAAGAGTGGTTTAAACTCATAAAGTGAAGGCGCAATCCAAGCACTACTTCCCCTAGTCAGGAGCTGGTCTGCTCTTGCTGGGCCTCGCAGTGCACATTCCAGTGCGGGATCCAGCCTGGGCCTGGCCGGCTGCCCGCAGAGTCGGGCCAGGGTGAGGCCGGGCAGAGCCTCACCGCCGTGGGAGCCAGGCCAGCCGTGGCGAAAGGGCCAGGAGCAGACTTGATGGAGTCGGAGAGGCAGAGCAGATCTGGGCCTGTGCAGAGGTGACAGAGGAAGCTGCTGCCTGGGGACGGTCTATCAGGGCCCTGCTCCTGCGAAGAGGTGGGACCACTGCCTCCACCATTGCGCAGTCCACCTGGTGCCCTCTCTGTTTTTAAACTCCAGCTACTGCTATTTGAGACCTTACGCATTAATGGCAATTATTTGACTACAGGAAATTAGTTATTCCTCCTACCAATCTGTAAGCTTCCCAGGCAACAAAGACTCTCACACAACTCCCTCCTGATTCAGGTACCTCAGGACTCTAGGTGCCCCTCCAGGTGACCGGGTCCTTAGGGACTCCAGGCACTGCTCCACAACACCTGTCCCAGCACTTAGAAAATGCTGAGCACACTAATCAATGTGTTAACCAATCATTTTTCCCTTGCCCCCCAAGCCAGACTCCCCAGGGATTACTCAACGTGAGTACAGGCACTTAGGCCTCCTGAGCACCCCACGCTGCTGTAGACACAGGGCACGCCGCTGTGAACAAGACCGAGGAGGCAAAAAATAAATAAAAATAAAATACTAGAGATAATCCTCAGAAGCGAAAAAGTTGCTAAAAACAAAACTATGCCACAATGGTGGTAGACCTATACACTCTGAGAACTCGTCCACCCTTTACATTTATTCCTTTAAGAATATATACCTTGAATTATGCAAGGTCTTCAGGGACAAAGCCTTCTGTATGCCTTTTCCATGGCTAAATTACAACTTACCACAAACTTAGTGCCTTAAAACAACAGCCTCTCATTAGCTCGCAGTTCTGTAGGGCAGAAGTCCAACTGGATTCTCTGCTCATGGTCTCACAGAGCCAAGGTGGAGGTGCGGGCAGAGCTGTATTCATGTCTGGAGGCAAAGGAGAAGAAGAATCTGCTTCCGAACCCATTCAGGTTGTTAACAGAATCCAGTTCTTGCAGATGTAGGAGGTCCTCATTTTCTTCCTAGCTGTCAACCAGGGGTCCCCCTCTGCTCCCAGAGGCCTCTGCATTCCTTATCATTTGGCTCCTGCATCTTCAAGGTTAGCAACAGTGACTGGAATCTTTCTCATCCTCAAATCTCCGTGACTTCCTCTGTACGTTTAAAGGGGCTCCTGTGATTAGATTAGACCCACCTGAATATTCCTGTCTTAAGGCCAACTGTGTACACAGCATATATATACACAGTTCAGCCTTCACTTAACATCATCAATAGGTTCTATGACTTTAAATGAAATGATGTATAAGGAAACAAGTTTTATTGTAGGCTAATTGATATAAACAAGAGTTAAACTCCTATTGTATCTTACCAATGTTATAAGAAAATGACACTTAATGAAACATTATTCTAGGGCCTGCTGTATACACATCATATATAGGATTAACTATACATAATATAACTGTGAGAGTGATAGCTCATCATCTTCACCCGTTCCAGGATAATGATATTGAATCTTGGGGACCAGTTTTGGGGGTTTTTTTAATGGATTTGAGAGAGAGAGAGACATCGATTTGTTGTTCCTCTTATTTACACATTCATTGGTTGATTCTTGTATGTGCCCTGACTGGGGATCAAACCCACAACCTTGGCATATTGGGACCGCACTCTAACCAACTGAGCTACCTAGCCAGGGCCAGGGGGCCACTTTTAGAACTTTTCCTACCACACTTCATACAAAGCAACCCTGACCCCTCGGACTGCGTCCCCTGTGAGCGCATCCCCTGTAGGATGTGGATCATGTGCAGCAAGCAATTCACACAGAGAGGCTGGACTCCAAACCTCCGAACCCCGCCTCCAAGGTGACTGAGAAAGTCTCCCTAGAGGAGGCCTGTCATGTTGACCTGGTAGATTTTATCAGTGGGAATAAATCAGCGACCCTGGGGAGAAGAAACAGTAGCAGTAAAGAAATGGCCAGAGAGGTAGCTTGAGTCACCCTAAGATGGGCCCTGAGTCTCGGGGTGAGATGTTTTGAATGTCATTCAAAAGTACAGAGGTCCCCAGTTAGGGTACATGCACCCCAGGGGGTCACAACATCATCTATAGTGTGGCGAGAAAATATTAGAACCTCATTTATATATTTTGATCCCTTTTCTTCAGATTTCTACTTGGGAATATACTTTATTAGGTAAAGTACACAGTAGACGTGTACGGTGGTCCATGTGTATTAGTCTATTACTGCAAAATGATCACTTAGCAACTTGAAACAAGAGCTGTTTGTCATCCCACTCAGTTTCTGAGGGACTGGGGACTGGGTACAGCTTAGCCTGGGGGTTCTGACTCAGAGTCTCTCGTGAGGCTGCAGTCAGGATGTCATTGGAAGGCTTAACAGAGGCTGGAGGACCATCTTCCAAGATGATACACAGCTGGCGAGTCAGGGTGGGCTGTTGGCAGGAGGCCTCAGCTCTTCGCCCCCTGGGCCTCGCCACAGGGCTGCTGGAGTGTTCTCACAACATGGCAGCTGGCTTCCCCCAGAGAGAGTGATATGAAGCTCGAGACAGAACGTGCAACTTCTTTTATGACCCAGCCTCGGAAGTAACGCTCCCTAATCTGCACAGTATCCTGGTGGCTCCACCATCAGCCTGCTCAGTGTGGAAGGAAACGACCGACACAAGAGCGTAGATACCAGGGGGTAAGAATAATCAGGGACCACCTTGAAGGCTGGCTACCACAACAGGTACAGAATTATTAGGTGAGTGAGTATATGCTGGGGACACACACCCCAAAGCATTTTACTGATGGGCCCCTGAACAATAAAGTTAAAGAGCGACTGCAGACTACGGGGCTCATGGCCGGAGAGCAGTGAAGTCCGATCCATACGCTGAACAACGGCCGGGCCTTGCAATGAGTGATGGG